ATTCGTTGGTAAAAAAGTAGCCCAAGAGTTGGTGGTAGGTGGTGATAACTAGCTGCCTTCCCTCTAGTCTTTCACTGCTAAATTAGGGACGGCTAGCGCAGATAGCCTTCAAGTAGCTTTGCGCAAAATTTCAAACAAACCAAACCAAATACTATAACTGCCACTGTTAAAGCACAAACATTAAGCCAGACACCTATCTCCATATATATATATATAGTTAATTAATGATCCTTCAATAAATGTGATGGACTTCTAAATTAAAAGAAGTGATTGTTATTTTTTTAGTGGGCTATCTGTACTCTGTCTATTGAGAGGAATAGAATCCCTGATTGCTGCATTATAAGTGCGTAAACTAGCCGCTGACCCACCAAGGGACAGAGAAAAATAAATCACAGAATTGTGTATATTTCAATGAAAAATTAATTTCTATATTTACCTTCTCATGCTAAATAAGAACTTCGTAAGTTATGTTTACCTAAAGTTATTTAAAAAAAGCGTTTTCTAGGTATAAAACGCTTAAACGTTGCTACTGAATAAAATTTAAAAGCCACCAAAAACCATAAATAAGTTACAGGGTGTCTCAAATATTACTTGTAACGAAACTAAATGTTATTTTCTTTGAAATTGTGAAAATGATAAAATGGTGTCATTATAATACGATCATGAAAAAGTAATGAAAGAAAAATCGTATAAACATTTATTGATTCACATCATTAAACTTATTTTACTTTAGCCCATGATTTTGGACATCGCTGTAAGGTTAACCTTGGTAATTGATAAGCTCTGGTTAAAAACGTAACGTGTCAGGTCTTACATTGTGTTGTAGATCGCAAGGAATCTGTCACTTTCTGTATAATTTTTACAAAATTAACCAAAAGAGACTTCAATCGTCTTAAAGCACGTATATAAGAAACCGAGCGGGATAATCACTTGTTGACCCGAGACTTAATTTTGTATAAAACAAGCTAATATATATTTTTATGTGAAGAGAATCATACCACAAATTAAAAACAAACAGTTGAAAATTTTCAACATAAGTTCTATCATCGATTAAATTTAAACTAAAAATATTAAAAGTTCTCGTTTTTGTACGTATAAAAAAAAAAACTCGTAGCGCTCATCCTTAATATCAGTAGCGTGGGTGTTTATTAGATCTGAGAAACCGTTAACGACAATACACATGCAACACTTAAGATCTGTGTATACATAAAGATTTTTTTCACGGGATTGAATAACATGTAAATAGAAGTAAATACGAAATTGATTAGCACAAACATACACGGAAAAACAAGGACATATCGGCTGAAAGTGCAAACATTTCCACACGCACTACCTACAGTGGTGAGAAGTAATGAACACAGCACAACGAATACCATTTCGGTGCAAATCAACAGAAGCGCATGCTCGAAGAATTTGAGCAAACAATACGCATGCGCAACCTCCTTGCGTTAAAATAGCTCTATAATTAACCGTGTTCTCTATCAAATAGCCTTTGGAAAACGTTGAACAGACTGTGACACAATTCTGGAAACTTAATCTACCTAATGCCCTAAAGCATTATTAATTTAAACATAGACACATTAAGATGGATAAAAAAAAACAATACTACCATAGTGGTAGCTCTGATTCAACTCCTCACTTATTTAGCACGACGAAAAATAATAAAAAGATTGTAACATTGGTTCAACTCCACAATTATTAGCGCGATAAGACACAGTAGGAACAAGAGTGTAACTCTGATTCAACCCTACAACTATTAGCACAGTACAAAAAAATACGATGATTCTAATTCAACTTCGTAATTACAGAGGTTTAGTTATATTAAAACATCCGGTTCATACCCTATCTGTTGGCCGTGCATCATGACAAAAGTACTGCAGAGAAGTTCAGATTGTAAAGCCATCGTGTGCGAAGCACCCCCGTCCTCCGTGGACTTTGCATAATCTATCTAACGTAGGAGGACGACGGTTTCCCAGCGCTCGTTTCAACAGTCCATAAGCGAATTGACCGGTATGTCTTCATGTAGAATAATATGTATATCCCTTTAATTCTCCAGCTGCTCTTCAGGAATGTGACAGTTGAACAGCTATTTGGTGGAAGCAGCTAGTGTACACGTGACTTATGTCGCTTTTGCAGACGAAGATTAATCTTGATTATGTTTTATGTTGTTGTGTAAGGCATGTGAACGGCTTTTGCCACTGACCTGTGTGCTCTCACCTGTGCTAAGAAGCAGCACTTCGTTTCCAACGGCTGGAATACAACTTGTTGTAAGTCTCTTTTTGGATAGTCCTGAATTCCCAGTTGATCCATATTCTATTGTTTTCCAATGCCATTAAATTGTCGGGATTCGATCCCGTGTCTTCTTGATAGAAATTCTGGTGCGTTAACCCAGGAGCGAATCCCGACCACTATCAATACTCTTTCTCAGGGCCTGGAAACTCGACAGATTAACAGCCGAAATATAAAAAAAATAAAACTAATTATTAATTAGTATCCAGTTATAACAAATGAATAAAACATATAATAAAAGTAATTAGAAATAGTTACTGATTAATAATTAGACTCGGGTGATAATGATCAAGTAGTCTACTAATCATTACAACTATTCGTATCCATCACAACCTTATCGAAGGGCTTAATAATGTATGGTTACCAAAGTAACAATTTTTTCGATCTCTTACTGACAGGATTATTCACATCTCTGGAAGTTGGTAATCAATGCTTACAAAGTACTATTTATATGTTCGCAGATATAATAATTGTAAATGTATCTTAATAAATGTTAACTTAATTTACAAACTGGAATTTAGGATCTCTTTCTAGCATAAGAGAGGAATATGGTCTAGTGATGAACATGTTCGGACTGTGATTCTGATGGTTCCAGGAACGCTTCCCGTTGCCACACAAACGCACTTTATACTTTGGGGTCGTGGGTGTGCTATAAGAGTGATGGTCAAACCCACTGTTTTGTCAAATAAGAATAACATAACAGTTGGCAGTTGGCCCTGTTAACTAATTACCTTCCCAATGGTCTATCAACTCAAAATTAGGGATTCCTATTTACGATAGCGTTTGTGTAGCGAGATTCTGAATATATATATATATATATGTAGAAATTATTATATTTGTAATTTGTAAAGCTTAAAAGAAAGTTTTATGTGATCAGCATTTAGTTTGACATTGTATACACTGTAACATTTATTTACTGATGGAATTGTCAATCTCAGTTTACTTCACTTTATCACTAGTTTATTCATGTTAATTATTTTCAACTATGTTCCGTGTGTACTGGTTAACTGGAGCATATTAGTGGATTTGCAGTATGTGTTATTCGGCTTTATGCTTAACTTTTCCTGTTGCTAGGTTTAGCTCAGGATAGCTGCCCGAGTTGGTCTGTTTTGTATTTAGGGTAGTCCTTTATTTATGTTGTCTTTGAGAATTATAATGTATTATGTGCTTACTTTGTGTATTTATGCGATTGGTGACTCGTATATTATAAAGTGACCTAAGGTCAAGTAAGGGGGAGTTGTGGAGACGTCACATGATAGCTTTACAACGGTATGTATACACGTATAGAATCTTAGTTGTTTTTCGTCACTAGTTTATAATTGTCTTGTAAATAACGTCACTAGTTTATAATTGTCTTGTAAATAACATTATATTACATTATTTTGAATGTTAATTTCATTAACAGTCTTGGTCAACTCTTTAATATGCATAGCATATTAATTGTTATTGTATTTCATTTATTTATTACACATACTGTCTTATTATGAAGGTTGTTTTGCTTGTTAGGACTGATCTAAACCTCCTACATTACGGACGAGAATACTGACAACAGAGAGGATACTCAACTAATGAATCATGCATTCTAGTCGATATAACATTTTGTTTTATGTGATTCTATACTCCTACCTAGACTGGTATATTAAATTACATACATTGTCTTCTGTTTTGTTTTTTTTGTTTTTGTTTTTTGTTGCTGTTGTTCTAATCTGTATAGTTAGCTTGCTTTGATCAGATGATCAGATGTTTTATCACCTAAAGTGCTGTCCTGCTCCTAGAACTGTGTTTTCATGTGGTCCTTAACTCCGACCTCTCACATATACACACACGTTTATATAACGATAGAGATATTTCTTGTAATTCTATGCTTTTACATGCATGCACTTTGTGTCTACTTTTCTGTGATAGGTTTCCAAAGCTCAGCTCTAAATTTTTGATGTTTATTTCCACATTAGTGAACACTTCTTTCTTGTCATTTTCTGTCTTACCGATCTAGTCAGACCAGGATGTATATTCTTACAGTTTGTTTCTTGATATGTAAACATAAGTTCAGTTTTCTCGTACCCCGGTGATACAGTGGTAAGTTTACGGATTTACAACTCTAAAATCAGGGGTTAGATTCCCCGCGGTGGATACAGGAAGTAACCCAATGTGGCTTTGCTTTAAAGCCAGCAATCAGTTTTCTCAATTTCCGTAAATTGTTTTAATATAATTTCATTATTTATTCCTTCATTTTAATGATAATACATATTAGGTATCCAGCTGAGTAATGTTAAGTGCATAATGAATATTTGTCCTTATATTGGTTTAATTTTTTTTAGTTCGTTCTTTCAAATTTTGAACTTCTTACTGTTTATGGAATTCTAGTAGCTACCTACGTGAATATTGTTATCCACAAAGTTATCTATCTTTCTATTGATTTTTTATCTCTTTTGATTAAACTGTCTATCTACTTATTTGCCTATTTATATTCTCTATAAGCGTGGCAGGTGGAATGGTATAAAGATTAAGCTCAAGAGACGTTGTAAAAAAAAAAACAACTTACAACAAAATAACATAGGAAAATCGAGATTTGTCATCAAACGTAGATACGTACATCTTGTGACGTCACGCTTTGTGGTACCTCCCTCGAGGCCAATGATAGGGCTCGCAAGAGGAAAGATGCACCATAGAAAGCACCTCTCAAAAACGTTGGCGGCAACAGTCACGCAAGCAGAAGCATCGAATCACTTTCGTGAGTACCACGTGCTGCAGGAGAACATTAGCTGGGGCTGTGCTGAAGTATAAGTATTTAAGCGGACAACCGTCACTAATCATACAACGAGTGTCTTCCCACCAAAATACTATCGATATATCATCTGTCTTATATTTTCAGTGTTAGAAGATTTAACGTTATTAATATATTGGGTTAAGCAACGAGGCATTTAATGTTCCAAAACTCTTTTTTATATTAAAAGCAAGATATTTCAATAATAATTTCTATTTGGAGAATCATGGAGTATTTGCTGCATTGGAAATCCTTCCTCTTCTTAGCTTTGACACTCAGTACCAGCCCTCTTATCCAATGTAGACGAGTCCCGTGGTGGCACATCAAGATGGCCCAAAGCCAAGGGTATTATAATTTCATTTATTTACTATTTTAAGCTTCATTACCTAAATAGATTTAATTTTTGTTTCTTTGGAACTGAGAAAACGGAACCGGTATATTTTTCTCCTCTGTTCTAAAAATCATTGTTCCTAAAAGTATTTCAATAATTTGATATCATATTGAAAGTTATTGTTTGTAATTAGAAACTGACTTGATGTCGGAATTGGTTAAAATACACTTAGCATAAGGAGTAGTTGTTAGCGGATTTTTTTGTTTTTTCAGATATCCACTAATGAATTTAAAAAGCATGCCTACCAAGAAACATAAGGCTATAATACATTTTATGACGTACATCAAAATTGTAATTTCTTTATTTCTATCTTAGCTTTGTTATCTAACATAAATAACGAAATGCACAGAAAAGTCATTTTTTATTTACTTATTTGCCTGTAATTTGATACATTTATTATCTGTTTACTGAATGCATCGATTACTGATTTTATTATGATTTTAAATTAACGTTTCTAAAAAAACTCTAATTTATAGGGACATCGTCCTAAAAACTACCGTACAAATTTAGAACCTGGTAATACTGATTGTGGCCATCACGCTAATATGAAGTCAGTAAAGCCTAAAACACAAAGATGATGGTTTGAATTTTTTTCATGTAGCTTTCGGAAGTTATTTTGTTACAAGCAAATTCTATTATATACAAGCAGCTCTTCGGCATATATTTATTGTAAACGCTTAACATATTCCATAATACCGCTATGAATTTATTTTGTAAACACTAAAAGAGACTTTTTATTACACTACCTTTTCAACATATATTAACCCACGTGATCTTGACTACCCTTTTGTTAGATTTTAACTTTTGTAACACTGTGTTACAAACACAGTTTTAGTTAACACTAACATTATATGCTATCTCATTCAGAATACCATCCGCACTTTACAGCTTTATTGTACAATTCAACTTAAAGAATTTATAAGACACATACACATATGTACATAAACATGTTTACATTAACCTAAGTATTACTGCAATATAACTTAAGACATTTATTTCTAAACATAAATAATAAGTATCCGCTAATAATTACTTGGATAATTTATAAGACACATACACATATGTACATAACCATGTTTACATATGAATGTGTTTACATTAACCTAAGTATTACTGCAATATAATTTAAAATATTTATTTTTAAACATAAATAATAAGTATCCGCTAATAATTACTATGAATATTTATGTCACTTAATTCTGAATATTGTACTTAATTTGGTATTCATTGTAGTTGTGAAAAGTTTGAAATGTGCACAAATTGTAAACTAAACGCTTATACTTACTTATAAAATGAGATGCTTCAATAATTTTTCGTACATCTATAATCCATATCTTTTGCATTTTGAAAGACGTAAACACATAAATCAAAATTTTGACAAGGGCACTAGGTCAACCAAATCTTCACCTTTTGAACATAAATTAAAGCGTGAAGAACAATATTTATCAGTTGTTTGTAAATAAGGTTATTATTTTACAATTATGATATTAAGACTCAGTTTATCTTATGTCCACGAGGTGACAAATAGTTATTTTGTCAGGGTTGATGACTACGTCTTTACCATTTTTCTACAAGGGAAGAAACAAGCAAAATAGTAAGATTTTTGTAACCGTGAAAACTGCATATTGAGAGCTTTTGGGCGTATCACTAAGCTTCGAGAGATTGATATAGTATGAGAATTGACCATTCTAAGTGTAGGAACAACGCTAAGAGGTGTTTAAATAAGTGAAACTGATGGTAACGGAATTTATATAACTTACTTCCTGAATTACTCTAAACAATAAGATTATGTCACGACCTTGGTAGTTCGTTGGTGTCACTTAGCCACGTGATCGTATCAGAGGGGTTCTCATATACTTAGTATTCTGTGAAAGCTCAAGCGGCCTGTATGAATAATCTCTCTGCAAGCAATATCAGCGGGCTTAAAGGTCATTGGTGAAAAACATTCATGTCATGTTGAAGGATGAACAAAGTAATAGAAATATAATCTCAGCTCATAAAACGTTATTCAAAACCATCATCGCTGAACTAAGTGTGATGTTTGAAAATATGTTATCTTGAAGATGGCCAAGGTCTTGAAAGAATGATCCCACATACATATTCATGTTCAGTGGGTTAGTCGTGTATTTCAGCAAAGCACTTACTGCTGTTAAACTCGGGATCCTAATACTTTATCTTCACTCTCTTTTTTTAAGCAAAATTCCGAGAACGATGACAGGTTTACAGTGACATCTTGCTCTTTGAATGCATCAGCGAAAGAAAATAAGAACGATACTTACATGTAGTACCACGATATCGTAGTTCTATCACATTTTAAGACGTTCCAATGTAATGCTTCAACCGTAAGAAGACTTTCCGAGAACGATGACAGGTTTACAGTGACATCTTGCTCTTTGAATGCATCAGCGAAAGAAAATAAGAACGATACTTACATGTAGTACCACGATATCGTAGTTCTATCACATTTTAAGACGTTCCAATGTAATGCTTCAACCGCAAGAAGACTTTCCTTGCCATTGCTTCCCGTTTAGTACAGTTTATTTGTTAGTGGTACAGAAACTCATGTGATTTATGCTTATATTTATGGACTTTTTTTGTTGTTGCTTGAGTTTATAGTGATACGAGAAAATATTCTACAGATTGAATTAAATTTCATTAAAAGTTTCTTTTTCTTCGCGTCCTTGGTTTGTTTCTGCTGTTAGTTGCTCAAAACCTAAAGTCCAAGCGGTCAAGTGATGTTTCGATAACGAGTATATAACCGTCATTATTTTTCAGTTTTCATCGTTCACATTTCCATACGTTTAAGTTAAGATACATATTTTGTAATATACATTGAAATAAAAGGATTTCTCAGTAAAGCTTTATCTCTCGTGGATGCAACTGATTTTAGCATTATTTTGGATGCACCATTTGGGGCTTTAACTGGGATTCTAACATTTGAATTACGAATCCCGAAAAAATCGCTGTTTGACTTCTTTTAAACATCTTAAATATAAACGTTTTACTTTAATAATTTAGGAGTGCACGTTGGCTCTGTTGTAGAACTTTGGATTTCGAATCTGACGAGCTAGATTCTAATCCGTGCGATACCAAAATATATTACCACACTTTAAACTTTGGGTACATTATTAAGATGATAGTCAATCCCCTAACGTGGGTGGTATGGTACTGTTGACTGACTGTCTTCTCTCTTGTCAGTAGCTCAAAATTAGGGACGGGAGTAAATAGTAACTTTCCGATGAATACCAAAATTTATTATTAATTTAGCTAACACGTGGTTTATATGTCTGGCAATATTTAACGTTTCACCATCTTAAGTCCAGAGATTTAAAACTCATCACATAACACTACTCGGAAATTGTTATCTATACATGAAACGTTTAATGTGTAAAGAAAGTGATTGTTAATGATTTCCTGAAATTCTTTGGCATCTAAGAGAACAGGAATTGTCATAAGGGCTCTGTTTAGGGTATTTTTTACTTAACTTATACTTTGTCATCGCCTACAGAAATGTTTTCTTGTGACCACAACTAACAGACCTAGAAAATCAGAACCTCGTTTGCCCGTTACAAACAAATATGGAATATAATTATGTTAATATCATCTACTAAGCCCATAGTAACAAAGTGCACGAATATTTGTAACGCGACCATAATTTCTAGTTTAATTAAGGTCATGTTCTACAGTTGCACAGATGTTGATCTTAGTGTTCGGTTAATATGATACCATTCTCAGGATCTCAAGGTATCGAGTACCGAAATCAAAAAATCCAGTAAGTTCTGTCTTCGCACATACAGTTCGTTTAATGGTTACAATACAACTACATAATTGCTACATTCTAGCTCTTTCTTTCTTTTTCTTTTTTTTCGTTCTAGTTAATGAACCAGCACTTGACGACCCAAAACCAATTTCATTTATATTCGAATATTTCACCCATTGTTTAAGGTCATTAATCAATAATTTAAAAAAGCCACGTGAGGTTCTCATCAAATTAAATTTTAACCAGTAAAGATCTAGCCCATCACTTTGCCATCTGTAATTGGCTCACTGGTGTGCTTATGTTTTCATTTTCAAGATGGTGTATTTTTGAGCCATTCTACAACACATAACCACGCTGCGGTGTTTGCTAAAATCGAGATCAGTAAGTTCCTAGTAATTTTTTTTTGTTCCCCAGCCAGGAAATTAAGTAAAATTGCTTCAAGTTTCACAAAATAAGTACAAATGTAAAACACTGAAATAACTAACTCTCTACTGTTTCGTTAATGTGTATTTGAATTGTCACACAGGTGTTCATTAAGTTTGATAAGTTGAATAATATTTAACTTATTTATTCGACTTTAAGAAAGATAAAGATGTTTGATACATTTAACCTGAATGACACCTCGTGCAACACATGAACAAGCCAGCCAGTTCAGAGACTCAAGGGATCAGGTATAACTGTCTCTAAGTTTAAACTTCAGTTCAAAGGGAGGGCAATTACTCAGCAACACCCGCCATCTACACGACTACTCTTATTGAATAGCAGGATTTTTTGTCATTTTTATAAGGCTATCACAGCTGAAGATGATCTGTCAAACTATTTCAAAGACAATTCTAAAATCTAAAGTGTTCTCGTATAAATCATGTAACTTTAACTAAGTGACTAAGTACAGTGTGGTTTCAAATTTTGTATCGTTCACTAAGTTATACAGTTTAGTACCAAGAACAGACTATTCGACTATATAACTGGGTAAATTCGACGGCATATACAACCGTAAAAATCCAATTATGCTTTTATATACCACATTGACGCGAAACTAAATGGCATGTCTGATTCAGCATAAAATTATATTTGTGTTTAGAAATAACCACGTGTTCACAGGACGTTAGTTTTTAACTTATAAAGAACTATATTACTCCACCTTAGGTACTCTTACTCGTCTACTTAATATAACAAGTAGTTTCAAATTCTGTA